TCTTGGTAATTGTTATCAGTATGGGGATGGAGTGGAAAAGAATATCCAAAAGGCAGTTGAGCTATATCAGATAGCAGCTGAACAAGGACTTGCTGATGCACAGAATAATTTTGGTATTTGTTATCAGTATGGGGATGGAGTGGAAAAAAATATTGAAAAGGCAGTTGAGCTATATCAGATAGCTGCTGAACAAGGATATGTCAAGGCACAATTTAATCTTGGTCTTTGTTATGAGCATGGGAGAGGAGTGGAAAAGAATATTCAAAAAGCAGTTGAGCTGTATCAAAAAGCTGCTGAACAAGGACTTGCTGAGGCACAAAATAACCTTAAGATAATTGAGCAGATTGGCAAGATATTTTGGTAACATTTTTGTGTTATTGTGCTTTTTGAAAAAATTTTAGCTGCAGGCAATTAATTATGTGTACCAATTAATTACATGCAAGTTATTGCTAAGTTATCTGTTCATATAGTTTGTAAGCAACTAACTACAAATAAAATCTGCTTTAAAAAACTTCAAATATTCTTATTTGTAAAGTAGTTTACATGTAAGTTTGTAGACATGATACCTAATATATTGCCATTCTAGCTAGCACCTTTAGTTCCAGTTTAAAGTGGCAACATACTAATTCCTAACAAACCTCTTGTATATCCAAACATTTGTGCTTGTATGTTAAATTCTGTCCCCAAGACTTGTGTAAATTATCAAAACTCTATCATTAGTAATTAAGCTGCTTAAGTTACATTGTTTATGGTTATTAAAGTACACTTTTCTATTGTTATCTTGTTCTTAACCATTATTCTTTAGTAACCTTGTCAGAATTCCCATAAAAATCAGTATACGTTGTACTGATGGAAGTCCAAAGGAGAAGATGCAGATGTACTGTTCCATGGTTTTGAAATTTCATGTGTTCAAAAAAAATGATGGATTTTCTGGGATATAAATTCTACAAAGTGCTCTTATCATTATCTGTAATGTGAAGAATTTCTTCAAGTGTATCATTTTGTGTCAACCATTGATAAAGTTATGAATAATAAAGGTAAGCCTTTAGCCTTTGCCATTGTGTTTAAATGATGTTCCTTTTCTTTGAAATAGGATTCGTCTGTACAAATAAATGTGGGTAATGGTATTGATTTATTTTCAATAAGTACAACTTTATTGTGGTATTGATTTATTTTCATTTATTACTACAATCATATGACCTGTATAGTGACTATTGTATGGTGTGGAAGGTTGAGAGGTCATATTATCAACAGAATTTTGCCGGTAAAATGCGTGCAGTGTTTTGGAAATTCGAAGTTTTCAATTGCATGTATGTAAGACCATATCGTCCAGACAGGATGTAGTAATCAAATCCCATGAGCCTGGGATTTTATATAATTTCCATATTTCAGGAAATAGTATTTTCGGGTGATTGATTAAATAATGTTTGTGTATAGATCAGGGAATATTGTCAGTTTCAATTTAGTATCAGAAACGCGTAATGGTAATTGCCGAAATTGTCTTCGGAAACGTGCCAATTTATTGGAATATCAGACGAGTTGTGTTCCAGCAAACGCGAGGCTAAAGAGTGATATGCGGCCAAGTAAGGATTGCGTTGTAACCATTCACAGGCGTCGCGCAGTGATGAATGGTACCAGCAGTTGTTAGGTTCGGATAAGTTTGCCTGTTGTAGAAAAGCACTTACCATATTCGAATATAGTGTTAATGCTCTTCGATTTTTAGAATATCCCATTTGTCCAGTTATTGTTCGATATTCGACAAACGGATTAGCGCCAGCAGAACGACCTAAATTGGTGTGAAGGTATACAGGAGAGATATTTTCTTTTAGCATACGGGACATCTCGTATACATGTAGGTATTAAAGCAAGCCTGCGAAATAATCTGTTATCAGGTTCAAGTTTGTAACTTGCAATTTTGATGTACTGTGAGGATGAGAAATAAGAGGTGTTTCTGGAAGGATGATGCGAAAGGATAAGTATATGTTTCATCCATCCCTAGTAATACATGATACAACAAGCGTTAAAAGGCTGTTCCAGAATCTTCCACAATGCCATAGAAGGGCGCTAGTATGAATTATTGGTACTTTCCAAGAGTTCGTTATTGGACGACTCATGTAGTGAAGAAGATGTTATAGTAAGCCAAGAATTATCATTGATATTAAAAACTATTTTGTTTACACCGATAACACGAAACATTACAATTAGTTGGATATCTTTGTGTACTTATTATAATAATTTATAATGCTTGTGAGAATAACGGAAGAGAAAGTTAATCTTTTTTCCAGGAAATAATCAGTAAGATAAGTATTTAACAAGAATAAATTTGTAGTTTTAATTCTCGGTCGACAATTAGCACGTAATGTATATATGCTATTATCACTATTGCATTAATTATCGCTATAATCAGTTTGGGAGTGACATATGATATTCTACTTCGCTATTTACTATTTGCCATTACTATTTATAGTCAACCCTCCGTAAATGCACCCTTTATAAATGCACGTCTGCGATTTTCGTTACATTAAAGACGATTAGATAAATGTACAAAGAGGACAAATGTGTTGTTTACGTCAATTAACTAACAAAAACAGATGATTCTTGATATAGTCCAAACATTCGGCGTCTTAGTTTCAATATATTTATATTACTGATAAAATAATATACAAGATTGCACCAATTTGCTAGTTCTCAATGCGAAGAAATGCCCATTTATATCTGACGAGTCAATCTACTTCCCATTAAGCAAAAAACCGACACTAGACATAATATTGGATTGGGTTCTGTAATCATACAGGTTGGGATACTGCTTTAAAATGGATAAGTAGAAACTGCTTTCAGAGCCGTTTGGTTATATATGAAAAATAATGCGCCGCGATTTCAGAGCGGAGGGGCGCATGGCTTCTGCGGCCTGAGTTGAAATTTATGCTGGGTGTTCTCGGCTTGGAGCTTTGAAAACTTTGCGATTTTTTCATGTGGTTGGCCATTGCGTCGGCAACATACATTTGTGCCTGGTTCTTCAGAGCCAGCAATTCTTCGTTTTGGGCTTGTAGCTCTTTCTCGAGAACTTTGAGCCGGGAATGAGCTGAGAATTAATTCTCTTAACAGCTCAGACGAGTCGTTCGTTTCGTTCGTTTCGTTTGTTTCGTTTATTAAACTCGCGAATAAATTTAATTATTTGCTGACCGCGTGTAGGTAGTGATAGAATATTTTCGTAAATGTGAAATAACTTGATGCTGGGACTGCATTAAATGGCCTAAGATCTGCTTACTCCCTCTTTGATAGCTGATTAGTTATGTATCTGAAAAGTCATTAATAAAGTTTCATCCACAGGACATTTGCATCAAGTTTTTTCTTTGCATCGATCAGAATCATGTGATTTTGTAATTGAGCATAATTCGATTGACAGAACTGCGCTATATCAATAGCACATGACTGATTGACCATTAAACAAATTGCAAATTACTAAATACAGATAAATCAAACAGTGGCATTATTTTTATTCTGTCACAAATAACAAAATATTACATTGAAGTATAATTTAATATGATATTCTGAACTGAAGGCCATTGACAAATGTCGTTGATCCACATCTATATTGAGAGTTGCAAGATGACATTAGAACTTTTTTCTGTCACGCCTCGTCCATTTGCTTTCCCAGTATTGTTTTTAACATATGTAAATATTTCTAAAAGGAAAATCGATGCTCTATTAGTTAAACCCATTAAATCTTTACGGTAAGGACATCTTTGTTGATAAAACGAATGTATCCCGAAACACATTATCGTGTCGAAGACAAATAATAACACGAGCCGTTCTTGAAAGTTGTTCAGGTTAACTCTTGTTGACTATCATCACAATCAACTTGTTCTGTCACTGCTTCACCTGTTATCCAGAGTCGCTTTGAAGAAACTGCATTCTCAGAACCTTTAGCAGTACCATGTACAATGTAACTCATGTAATGACTATGACAGAACTGACTAACGTTTAATACCCATGTAGAATGCTGCATAACTTTATGATAAGCGTCTTCAGTAAATCTTCGGAACCTTACTTCAAACCCTTCTGCTCCACAAATAACACTTAGTCCAACAAGCTTCTGGGGGCGTGCATTTGATCTGTCGTCTAAGATTGTCGAAATTGCTTTAAACTTGCATGATCAACTGGATCTCTTCGTTTATAACGCTGTAACAGGTGTCTAGGAAAACGTAAAAATGGGGGGTTTTTTATTGTCACACATTCTTTTAAAATACTTTAAACTGTATAAAAAATTCGTATCTATAATGTCACACAATTGAATTCCAGCCAATCATGCAAATGTCCGGGATGCTACACTGACACTATCTATTGTTCTTACTTACGGAAAATGACAGTCGCAGTAAAATAATTTTTACTGGTTAAGAGTCCGACAAGTCACGCGTATAAATTTAATTAAACTGACAGAAAAATTTTTTTAGCACTTAACCATGTCCACACCCACGAGCTGGAGTCATGACCCAAACTCTTGAGTGATTGGGATATTCAATTTATCGAGGAAACTCCTGAATCTTGGTATTGAACTTGGTATCCTTCTTAAGAACCTATCACCAAAAAGTAGTCGCCATTATTCTCAGGCAACTGTTTTGAAAAAGGCTTTGGAGGTTGGTGCCTTTCTTACTGTGTTTATTATAGGTGTACATTACCATGCTCTGCAGTCATGTTCTGAGCGATTTGTCGCACAAGACAACATACGTTGTTGTCAGAAGTGGGAAGTGGTAATATGCATCTGGTAGCGCCATTGATACTGTTAGCTTATGACCCTGCAGTCATGTTCTGAGCAATTTTTTTTCGCACAAGGCAACATACGTTGTTGTCTGAAGTGGGAAGCATGTTATAGTCTGCGCCGTGGGCTCCATTATAGCATGTGTGGCTAATAGGCAATCAATTAATTAATCTATGATGAAACACTTTAGTTTTCATATTTTTGCTAAGAACTCTGATAATGATTCTGCAAATATTTTGTTATGGAACAAGCATCTCAAACAATTAGAATCACTAGCTATTACGGATCGGGTACAAAGAGTGAGTATGTATTGTTTTTGATCTTACTAATATGCGTAACATGATGTTTATGATTTTCTTTAACTGTCTATTATTAGCGCACTATCAAAAGTATTAGTATACAAGAAGAAATTGGGCGAGCCAAAGAGCAGATATAAAAAAAACAACATAAAGTTAGCATGAAGGAAAGTAAGATATCATTAACTGATTCAAATACACAGACTAGCAAGACAACTAACCAAGTTACAAAAAGAAAACTTCTCTTCTTCAAGTCTATTTTATACATTAAAACTCCATCGTTCTATGTCTTTACTCACTCCTAAAGACGAATACGCCTTAGCGAAAATTGCATCTCGTTTATTCGAAAGCGTATAAGCAAATTTCGTTCTTTGCAAGCGCAATATACTCTGTCATTTTATTATACTGAAATGACCTGCGAAATGGATAATAAACTTGTAACAACTTATTACGTCCCGTGTCGGTGAGAACGTTCTCGTGTGACGACTTGAGATTGGCGTCTTCCAACGGAGTCTTCGACTACTCCTACTATCGATAATTAATTTTCTAGTAAAAAGATGTCTGACATATAGCTTACAGCTTTTTATAACTTACTCACTTGCTAAATTTTTGCGACCGTTTATTCTGCAAGACTTATAGTAAAATATTTTTGCTGTCCGCCATTATTTTTTTCCTGGACTGTAATAATACTGATGTCAAGGTTTCTACAAATTCGATGGCAAGATCGAATTTGTTAACCGCCGATTTGAGAAGCGTTTTACGATAAAAAACACACCAGCGAATGAATAAAAACGACAACATATTTAATTACAGATTTTAATAGAATTCAAAAAGTTATTCTAATTGCAAAGAATCGAATATGCCTAAGATAATATTCACTAAGGAGAAATTATGACTGTTTAAATATCTAACTACCGTATCACTAAAACTGGTAATAAATTTCGACATATGGAAAACATTAACTGCGTAATAAAGTGGTAACAGATTTTAATATATCTCTATCCGTTTACAAAGTGATAATAAATCCGTCCTAATGAGTCAACTCTCGTGCGTAACTTGTGCACTAAATATTCGTACCGCAAACCAGAATTGGGCGGAAATCACGGAGGAATACGTTGTCTTTCGCCTCAATTCTGACACCGTCATTAGCAAATAAAATAATGTTTGTTTATTACTGTAATCATTTCTAATGATATTTAAATAAGTAATCTATTCCAAAGCAGTTATCTATATAGAGTCTATTTCAAAAGACAACTTAGTCCAGAACTGAGACAGGTTCCCAATTAAGATACAACATACAGTGCCCTCCAATAAATGAGTGAGTGACACAAAATTTCACTAGTAAAACATATGAAAAGTCTCTTTTTTTAAAAATCTATCCTACCCATGTGTACTATACAAACTACAACGGTATTTGTATGGTTCTGAAGCTTATTGATTGCACTTTTCCAAAATAATAACGATAAAATTATATATATTATCGTTATAAAGCTGTAACAAGTTGATGTAGCTGCCTCCAAATTATGATGTGAAAACATATGATTATATATGTGTAACACGTATACTCACACTTCATCAAGTTACTGCTTTATAACAATAATATATATAATTTTGTCATTGTTCTTTTCGAAAAGTGCAATCAATTAGCTTCAGAATCATACGAAAACTGTTGTAGTTTGCATAGTACACATGGGCAGAATAGATTTTTAAAAAAAGAGACTTTTTGTATGTTTTACTAGTAAAATTTTGTGTTACTCACTCATTTATTGGAGGGCACTGTACATATATTGTGGAAAAACTTATTAAATGCTCATTACAAAAGTAGCTTAGACTTATAAGGCTTTTTGTGGCAAGCTGACAAAGACTCGTTTCATTTTGCAAAATAATAATGTTTATGCAACATAAACTTTTCCCATGGAGGACTTTTACTAGAAAATGTTATCATGCCTTCAGGTCATTAATATTCATTTATCTAGTAAAGCTCAGATGTTGACAGAAGAGAAAACACTTGAACAGCTGCTTTTGTAGTTCAATTATTTTTATTAAAAATTTTTGACACTGAGGACTTAGTTTAACCCTCTTTGGACCACAGTTGCTCATAATAATAAACATATTTTGAATGTCCACAATTGAAGGTTAAGTAGTGTACATTGTTAAACAAAAATAAGAGAATACAAGTTTATAGACATGTTTTCACATGTGTATTTAATAAAGATTAATAATAAATAAATAACCAATAAATAATGTAACCTATCACTATTCATATGTTAATAATAACTTTTATTCCAGAGCCTTTGCTAAGCCAAGCCATTGCTCCTGTATCTCCTTATCTGATTACTCTACTGAAGATTTAGAAATGCCAAAAAGAAAATGATTTCAGAGCCTTTGCCAAAGCTATTGCTTCTTATCTCCTATTAAATTACTCTGAAGGTTTAAAGATTTTAAGAAAAGAATTTAATTCCAGAGCTTTTGCCAAAGCTGCTGCTCCTGCTTCTCCTATCTTATTATCCCAAAGATCTAGAGATGCTAAAGAAGAATTTGATTCCAGAGCCTTTGCCAAAGCTGTTGCTCCTGTATCTCCCATCTGATTTCTTGAAAGATTTAGAGATGTTAAAGAAGAATTTGATTCCAGAGCCTTTGCCAAAGCTGTTGTTCCTGTATCTCCTATCTTATTATACCAAAGATTTAGAGATATTAAAGAAGAATTTGATTCCAGAGCTTTTGCCAAAGCTGTTGTTCCTGTATCTCCTATCTTATTATACCATAGATTTAAAGATGTTAAAGAAGAATTTGATTCCAGAGCCTTTGCTAAAGCTGTTGCTCCTGTATCTCCTATCTGATTACTTTGAAGATTTAGAGATGTTAAAGAAGAATTTGATTCCAGAGCCTTTGCCAAAGCTTTTGCTCCTGCATTTCCTATCTTATTATACTGAAGACTTAGAAATGTTAAAAAAGAATTTGATTCCAGAGCTTTTGCCAAAGCTGTTGCTTCTGTATATCCTATCTTATTACGCCGAAGATTTAGAGATGTTAAAGAAGAATTTGATTCCAGAGCCTTTGCCAAAGCTATTGCTCCTGTACCTTCTATCTGATTACTTGAAAGATATAGAGATGTTAAAGAAGAATTTGATTCCAGAGCCTTTGCCAAAGCTGTTGTTCCTGTATCTCCCATTTGAATACGCCAAAAATTTAGAGATGTTAAAGAAGAATTTGATTCCAAAGCCTTTGCCAAAGCTGTTGTTCCTGTTTCTCCTATCTGATTATACCGAAGATTTAAAGATGTTAAAGAGGAATTTGATTCCAGAGCCTTTGCTAAAGCTGTTGCTCCTATACCTTCTATCTTATTACTCTGAAGGTTTAGAGATGTTAAAAAAGAATTTGATTCCAGAGCCTTTGCCAAAGCTGTTACTCCTGTATTTCCTATCTTATTATGCCAAAGATTTAGAGATGTTAAAGAAGAATTTGATTCCAAAGCTTTTGCCAGAGCTGTTGCCCCTGTATCTCCTATCTTATTATTCTGAAGGTTTAGAGTTGTTAAAAAAGAATTTGATTCCAAAGCTTTTGCCAAAACTGTTGCCCCTGTATCTCCTATCTTATTATTCTGAAGGTTTAGAGTTGTTAAAAAAGAATTTAATTCCAGAACCTTTGCCAAAGCTGTTGCTCCTATATATCTTATATTATTGCTCTGAAGATTTAAAGATGTTAAGGAAGAATTTGATTCCAGAGCCTTTGCCAAAGCTGTTGCTCCTGTATCTCCTATTTGATTATACTGAAGATTTAGAGATGTTAAAAAAGCATTTGATTCCAGAGCCTTTGCTAATGCTGTTGCTTCTGTACCTCTTATCCGATTATACTGAAGATTTAGAGATGTTAAAGAAGAATTTGATTCCAGAGCCTTTGCCAAAGCTGTTACTCCAGTATATATGTTTAATGTGTCATTCATGGCTCTATTTATAAGGCTATATGTATATCCTATCTGATTGCTTGAAAGATTTAAAGATTTCAAAAAAGAATTTGATTCCAGAGCTTTTGCCAAAGCTGTTGCTCCTGTATTTCCTATCTGATTATAGTGAAGATCTAGAGATGTTAAAGAAGAATTTGATTCCAGAGCCCTTGCCAAAGCTTTTGTTCCTATATCTCCTATCTTATTATCTGGAAGATCTAGAGATATCAAAGAAGAATTTAATTCCAGAGCTTTTGCCAGAGCTGTTGCTCCTGTATCTCCTATCTTATTACTCTGAAGGTTTAGAGATGTTAAAAAAGAATTTAATTCCAAAGCCTTTGCCAAAGTTGTTGCTCCTGTACCTTCTATCTGATTACTTGGAAGATTCAGAGATATGAAAGAAGAATTTGATTTCAAAACCTTTGCCAAAGCTTTTGCTCCTGTTTCTCCTCTCTGATTATTATGCAAATTTAGAAATATTAAAGAAGAATTTAATTCCAGAGCTTTTGCCAAAGCTGTTGCTCCTTTATCTCCTATCCTATTATACTGAAGGTTTAGAGATGTTAAAGAAGAATTTGATTCCAGAGCCTTTGCCAATGCTGTTGCTCCTGTATTTCCTATGTGATTATACTGAAGATCTAGAGATATTAAAAATGAATTTAATTCCAGAGCCCTTGCCAAAGTTGTTGCTCCTGTATCTCCTATGTAATTATACTGAAGATCTAGAGATGTAAAAGAAGAATTTGATTCCAGAGCCTTTGCCAAAGCTGTTGCTCCTGTATCTCCTATCTTATTATATTGAAGATCCAGAGATGTTAAAGAAGAATTTGATTCCAAAGCCTTTGCTAAAGCTGTCACTCCCGTATCTCCTATCTGATTCCATTCAAGATTTAGAGATGTTAAAGTAGAATTTAATTTCAGAGCCTTTGCCAAAGCTAATGCTCCTGTATCTCCTATCTGATCATACTGGAGACCTAGAGATGTTAAAGAAGAATTTGATTCCAGAGCCTTTGCCAAAGCTGTTGCTCCTATATCTCCTATCTTATTATACTGAAGGTTTAGACATGTTAAAGAAGAATTTGATTCCAAAGCCTTTGCCAAAGCTGTTGCTCCTATATATCCTATCTTATTGCCCTGAAGATTTAAAGATGTTAAAGAAGAATTTGATTCCAGAGCCTTTGCCAAAACTGTTGCTCCTGTATCTCCTAACTGATTACCCTGAAGATTTAGAAATATCACAGAAAAAGAATCTCTTAGTATTAGAGCCTTTTCCAGAGCAGTTATTGCTCTAGTATGTGTAATCTTATTATAAACTAAACTTAAAGAATACACAGAGAAATTCAGTTTAACAGCCTTTGCCAAAGCTGTTACTTCTGTATATCCAATTTGACAATCACTCAGATCTAATATATGAAATGGTGATTGGGTAAATAATGACTTGAGTAGCTTGTTTACTGTTTGAATTGATGGGCGTTTGTTAGGGTCTTCATTCCAACATTTAGAATATAGATCAATATAATATTCAGATGTTCCAGGAAAAGGAGGATCACGAAAACCATGCAATCTGTATAAGAAAACTTTATAACTTGTGGTAGCCCCTTCACATGGAAGTTTTCCACTTGAAATCTCCCAAAGTATCACCCCAAGACTGAAAATGTCTGATTGTTTTCCACGTTTATAAGATTTGTTTTTGAAAGATAATGGATCAATATATGCCATATTTCCTTCACCTTTTGATATGGACATAGTCTGTTTGAGAGCACTAGACAATCCAAAATCTACTATTTTTGTGATGCCTTCTTGGATGAGAATATTTGTTGAAGACTATATAATAGTAATGATTAATATAGTAGTTGTAAGCATTAAATTATGATTTCATATATATTTCACAATAGTAACATGCAAACAAACCATGCATCATTAATACATACCAAGTTTTTGTGAACTATTTTGAGTTTATGTAAATACAACAGCCCATCAGTAACTCCCAAAGCCAGTTTGTACTTGTCCTTCCATGTCAGCTCAGAGAAATGCTTCTGCAAGTGTTCACATAAAGTTCCACCATCTGCATATTCAATCACCATATAATAGGGACCAGATAAATCTGTTTTATGTTGTAGAGTAGAATAAGTTACAAGCACTTGTATACAAAAAACCGTATTATTAACATTAATTAATGCACCTTGAGATATTCCTAGGAATCGAATAATGTTTGGATGATCATCCACCTGTTTATGAGTTCTCAGCTATTATGTTATGGATTGTAAAATAATTCAGTTTACACAGCCCTTAAAGCTACCATTATGCAATAATTAAAAAATAGGTAACATTGACAACCTTTTTGACAAAGTCTTTATATGATTCTTCACCTCCATGTCGATTTAGCAAGGCTTTCATCGCGACCGGTTTTCCAGAATGCTTTATCTTGGCCTTGTACACGACACCATATCCATTATTATTATGACCGATCACTGTACGATCTGCGATGTCATCTTCCGAATAGTGTTTGATAGAGCCTTCCCGGATACTCTTAGCCAACCACTCATACGTGCTGTTTGGCGATAATACAGTCGTAAATGTGTAATACGTAATACAGTCTTACGATAGAAACTTCCGCACCAAAATTTACATATACAAGTGACTCTGGTTATAACGACAATTCCTCAATAACGACTTTTTTTGAAAACCTTGACTTTCATTCAAAAGTTGGCTGCTGCATATACCGACAATCATAGGAAACCCTGGGTTTACCGACTCAACGACATATAACAATAATCAGGGATTGGATTTAACCGACAGTTGTACAATCCTAACATGTCGTACAACCATAATATTTCCTTTTCTGGTGTTTGTACGTTATAAGATGTATCAACTATATTAATTTGATTCTATTCTTCGAATTTTAGGTACAATACTTTTACTTTCAAAGAATTACAAACAAAACTGGATTCGTTTTTGTTCGTGAATAAAGTAATCATGCATGTGTCGCTGGCTTAAATTACTCGTATACATATTGCAATGACGATATTCAACCCAGTTGCTTGATAAATCGACATCTGGATCTTGCGACACTTTTTCATTGCCAGAGAGTTATAACCAGAGTCACTTGTAAAAGCTTTACTCTAAATTATGATAAACCCTATAACGAGCATTTACTATTAAATATTGTAAGACTTTATAGCATTTACTGTTAAATCACCCGCTCTACCGATAATTGTGCAACATTTACTAATTGGAACAGTATCAAATTGATCAAAGGTGAAAAGAAAGGCGTTGATAATATAGTTACATGACATGGACGGTTGGTTCGATCATTACAAGTCTAGATACCATATTCAGTTTTATGTAAAAAAGTACTTCGCGAAACTGTATTGCATCTGACTTTTCATATTTTTATCTTATTTTATCCCTTCATCTGACGTGTTCACTTGTTGTAGCCTTATATTGGCAATTAGAACCGTCGAGGACATCGGCGGGGGGTAAATCTTGTCATCGCATCAAGAAGTCAAAAAATTGTATAGCAGCGATTCTTCTTCGTTTTAATGCTCATCCATCGTTATGATGTCTTAATAGAATCGATAAGAATAAGTTACCCGCTGAACATTATTGGAATAAGACTGCGTGAATGCAAGTCTCCATATGGTCAAACCTCGTTATACCGAAATGTCGGGGGCATCTACAAGAAGAATTCGGGATAACGATATAACAAAGTTTGAGCCTAACTAAGGTCAAGCAATATTCGTTATAATGAGACTTTATTGAATAGTATTTTCACCTCAATTTAATACATGAATATAGTAAAGAGTTGACTACCCAGTTACAAATGAATCTATTCGACTTTGTTTCTGTTTTGCGATAATATGCAGCTTTACCTTTAAATTCGCCCGTAAAATTATTGCGTTGTTTGATTTGTTGTTGAGACATTTTATTGAACGACTTAAATTGAAACTCTCATTGTTTATATAACAATTTTGTTAATGATAAAATATACTTCCCTAAAATATATTTGCTGAATTTAAGATACTATAAATAAATACAAACATGACGGCTAAAAACGTACAAGTAACAATATTGACATACTAATACAGACATTATGACCAAAATCGTCCGATTATAAATAATTACGACTGAAATCATATGATTGAAAATATTAGCTATATTATGATCCTCATTTGCTAACAGCCAATCACTATTCTAATTTTTAATTACGTGGAAAATTTCGGTATAAAGCGATTAGCAGTCTATGTAAAATCCTGGTATCGAACGTCGTTAACGGTATAACGCGATTTTACTATTAAATTTCGTATTTATACGTTTTAATGAAAGCAATCAATACAAGTTATTATTATAGTGTATGTATTAAGCGTGATATCTACGAAGAAATTATTCGCTTGAAATACTAATACAAAACCTGACCTTTGGTGATATATCATTCATATGATGAAGCGGTGGTTGGCATTAATTATTTAAATATAACATCAATAAACCATTAATAGTAACGATTAAATTAGGAGTGTTATAAGCCTTATTTAATTAGTTAAAAATACTCGGCCATTAAATAGTATCGTTTTAGTCACTCCGGTGCAAATCTATGGGTCATTGTCTTTCTTTATTATTATTGTTAATATAACATTATCGCCCGTATTAAATTATATTCGCTATTTAGGTCTTTCATTCAATCCATCATTAATTGGGAGGCAGCTAGACCATTTCCTTCACTGAACGATTTAAGGCTGTTGAGCGTGCAAACATTTAGATTGCTACAATCGTAAACAAGCATTTGGTTAGTCGTATGAAGTATTATTAGTTCCTAATTAACGCTATTACGGAATAATTACGGACCGAGAACGACCCAAAAACAGTTAAAAAGTTCGATTTCGAAGCAAAAGCATTTGTTTAACCGGGGAGTTTTTAGCCGTTATTCAAAGTCGTCAACGGCTACTATTACAACAACCCATATGAAATTATCAGAAACATATTGCTTTACATCCTATTACAGCAATATTCGTCATTATTATATGGCTCTAAATGAACATACCTTGGCAGGAGGCGCATTGGCCCGTGCAGATTGATCGCACTACTAACATGTCCATAATCAGCATGCCGATTTGAACACGTAATAAAACAATAATCCGTTTTTTTTGTAGGCTGAATTCATACTTTAATTACAGCAAGTTAATCACTTTTGCCCGCAATGAAGAAAATACTCGACCCAAAGTCGTCAATGTGTATGACTTTTTTTCTGACTACTCCAAGTTGCTCATTCAATAATGTTGACATTATTGTTATCATTAAATATCTTTTAGAAATAGCAATGTAATAGATTTTAACATTATTGAACAGTGGAGCTGTTGCCGTTCGACTTTATTGTAGATGTAGGCAGCAGTGTTGCATTATGCAAACAAGCCTGAAACGCAAAACAATGCCGACTGCATGGATTGGGCGTTGTACCAAATATGAGAGAGAATATTAAGCGGAAAGACTGAAATCATGCAACCAATATGCATGTTTAGTAAATTATGAAATACGTCCTTGTCTGATTCGCACGATGGCAAGTCAACAACCGCACGATTGGTACTGCCGGTCGAACGGATCTGTTCTTTAGTAATCTAGAATATTGAAAGCTGATCACGCAGCAATCACGCGGGCAACCGAAACATTTTATTTCTACTAACTACATGTGGAGGTGTGAATAGTGTGAATGCATAAAAATGTAAAAGAAGGGGTGAAATCACGAAAAAGATCTTTGTTGTACATGTACGCATGCAAACATAGATTGCCTTATCAGGTTATAATCATATGATCTTTGAAGGCCCCACCACATTGACAAAAAGAAATATATTAATATGCACACATAAACCGTCTTTGATAAACGAAGACAGAAAACGGTAAATCATTCATGCGAAGCACACAACCCCGTCCAGGTCAAATGAAGGGTTGTCCGATGTCCGATATCCGAACGCCTTACCTTTGTGTTACTTTTTTTCATGACAGTTAGATAAATTAGGAAACGACTTTAGATCTTCCAGAAATACTACCTGCAGTTACCTGTGATTCATAACCGGGAAATAGTTAATCATAAAACTAGTTATATAAATAAGTCCCACTTTTCCCTTACACTAGTCAGAAGAAAAAAAACGCTCCCTTCTGTATTATCCCTCAAATAACTCATATCAACAATGCAAAAAGTCTATACAGTAGCCGTTGGCGAACCAGCCGTTGGCGAGGGTCGTGTATTTCGCTCCATTCATTCTCCCAACGAACTGACGACCAGACCGCTGCCCGAAATAAAAACAATGTATGATGTTACCCAATACGCCGCAAAAACCTATGAAACCAAAAAAGCAATCGGATATAGAACATTAACACAGATGGTCGAGGAGGAAAAAGAAGTCACAAAGATAATCAATGGAGTAGAAAAGAAGGAGAAAAAAATGTGGAAGTATTTTCAATTGTCTGGATACACTTGGCTCAGTTACGCCGAAGTCGCCGATACCGTGAAATTTATTGGGGGAGGATTGCGTCGTCTTGGTTTGGAAAAGGGATCAAATATCGCTATATACGCGTCTACGAGGTAACGTTACATTTGACAGTATCAAGATGATGTTGTGTTCGCTTCAGGAACCTAACATATATATTTACCCATGAAATGATTGATTAGTGCCAATTGGATGTTAATGGCTCATGGTAAGAATTAAACAAGAATTGGGAATTGGGAAATGGCTTTTATAAAACGCTATTTATCTAATTTGTAAATCAATCATCATTCACATACTACAAGGCTGCTTCACGCAGAGTTGTACTATCGTCACTGCCTACGACACGCTGGGAGAAGATGGCCTGCTACACTCCATGAACGAGTCAGAAGTGGCTGCAATATTCACAAATGCAGATCTCCTTCCGGTTATCCAGAACGTCGCTGGCAAATGCCCGACTCTCAAGCATGTGATCTATGATGGTGAACCAAAATCTGCAGTTTTGGACAAACTAAGAAATACTTACACAGCCTTGAGATTCTCTTCGTTTGACGAACTCATAAGTCTTGGGAGAGAGTTCGGCGTTGAACCGATTCCCCCAACCCCAAATGATTTATGCTGCATTATGTATACGTCGGGGAGCACTGGGAATCCCAAGGGCGTAATGCTGTCCCACGCGAATATTATCGCAACTAGTAAGCAAATAAATTTTACAATAGCCTTTACTGTATTAAAACAAAACAATATCACACCATTTACTCACATTTCTCATCACACAATTTTCATCTAAAAAGTCGCCGGCGCCACCAAAGCGCTTAAGCAACATATCAATGATGATGATCTCTTTCTCGCTTACCTACCCTTAGCACACGTTCTCGAATTCTTTGTCGAACAAGTCTGTATTTTCAACGGCATCACTCTGGGCTATGGATCTGTACGCACTCTTACAGATGCGTCGGTACGCAACTGTTTGGGAGACATTCGCGAATTGCGACCGACAATCATGACTGGCGTACCGGCTGTATGGGAATCAATCCGTAAAGGTATACTGACCAAGGTTCATGCAAGCAGCAACACGGCACAGAAAGTATTCAATGCGGCTTACAAAGCCAAGGAGTGGTTGGTTCAGAAGCGTATGCCAACTACTTTGTTGGATACTGTCGTGTTTGACAAGATTAAGCAGCAGACTGGTGGAAGGTTGCGTTTTGCAATATCGGGAGGGGCTCCGATTTCACGAGAGACGCAAGAGTTCTTGTCAATCACTTTGTGTCCTGTCCTTCAAGGCTATGGAATGACCGAATCATGCGGGTGAGTGGTAGTGGTGATGGTGATGGTGATGGTGATGGTGATGGTGATGGTGATGGTGATGGTGATGGTGATGGTGATGGTGATGGTGTGGTCATCTTTATCATCAGCTTTTGCGTTAGTACACACGCTCTTGCAACAACTCATTGTGTATCTTTCTTTGTTATTCATTATTGTAGTATGTGCACGATTATTACACCCGAACAGTTTACTTTCGGGTCAGTCGGCGCTCCCGTATCATCCACCGAGATAAAACTTGTAGACGTACCCGAAGCCGGATATGCCTCTACAAATACACCACGTCCTCAGGGCGAAATCTGGATCCGTGGACCTAGTATTGCCACTGGCTATTACAAAAACGAGCAATTGACAAAAGAAACCTTTACAGAAGATGGCTGGCTCCAAACTGGTGACATTGGTGAATGGCATTCGGATGGCGTTCTCTTTGTCATCGATCGTAAGAAGAATCTTGTAAAGCTGTCTAATGGTGAATATATTGCTCTCGAAAAGCTAGAGTCCGTGTACAAATCTTGTTTGTACGTGTCCAACATCATGGTATATGGCGATTCATTCCAGGCTCGACCTGTGGCTTTAATATATCCTGTCGAACAACAACTTGTACGATTGGCAAGAGAAAAGGGCATTACTAATTTAGATTTCAAGTATCTCTGTGAAAACGAAGAAATCAAAGCAGTCGTACTTGAAGCTCTTCTTGCGCAAGCCAAAAAGGCAAGCTTGAAGCCAGCCGAATTGTTGACAGCAGTGGAACTGGTTCCCGACGAATGGACCCCACAGAATGTAAGAATGCAATTAAGTTTCTCTGGCTATCATATACTGCATATCGCTTTTACTAACATGGAATTTCTGCTAGGGACTCTTGACTGCTGCGCAAAAACTCAAGCGCAAGGATCTTGTTACCAAGTACAAATCGAGTATAGACAAGTTATATGGCGTGAAGAGTGGTTCTAATTAGAGAAACGGAGGGTTCAGTAGAATAGCTTTAACTCTTGAAACAAAATATTGTTTCTTTCTTGATGTAATTTATATATATAACTTGAAAGCCTGCTTTCAATTATACATTATTGGTTTTTTCTTTTGCATTGGTGTAGTGGTTATAGAAAGTGTGAAAGAAGCAAACATAATTAGCAATGGATTTATTATTATTATATATTAATTGCCAATCGACGGTATCAAAACGAATTAATATTGAGTCGATTACTACTATCTTTGAGCACTCGTAAGGGTCTTCTGGTCTTGTTCGGTTTATTTTCTGCATCTATAACAAAATCGCAAGAATGATTGAATCAGTTTACGAAATAAAAATCCAAGCATACATAGAATCTTTTCCTCCCTTCACCCTCTTCCTCCCCCATTCTCCTTTCTTATGAATCGAATAACAATACCTGCGTCAATCTCTTTAGTTTTCCTTTTCTTTCGAACTCTTCCATTCTTGCCAGCCTTTGTCGCTGGAAAATCAATAAGGGCCTGAATTTTATCGTACCCAGCCTCCTTCTCGACCAGCTCTACCCAAGAATCAATGTCTGCCATCACCTGATAATCAAAAACAAAATTCCACTCTTTTGTCATTTCTGTTCGATTAACAAAGACGACAATACCCTCGTTAGCATGAACCCATGATGCTATATCTTTGACTAGTTGTCGACATCCGTGGACCTTGAGGCTGGTACCCATTACTAGAAGAAAATTTGGTTTGCGTCGAGCGTCAGCGCAAAGGTACTTTTGAATCTGCAAACCACGAGAATCGTCAAAATCGTTGTAGAGTGTAATGTTTGGATGAAGTCTGCCGATTTTGTGTGGGCGTTTACCCTGTTCACGCCGTTCGTTCTCTAAAAGAACAACGTTTGGTGCATCGCATGTGTTATATTCGGGAAATATTCTCAATCGAACCTCAATTCCCTTCTTCACTTACCTTCGCGGCTACATGAAGGACATTCGGGCATTTGCCCATTTTCGAAAGTTCGAATATATTTTTTATCAAACAATACAATTCCTTTACAAAATTGACAAATCAGCTGGTTCATATCACCATGCACTTTGATGACTTCCAATCCTGCTGCATTCTCTAGACCATCGACGTTCTGTGTGTAGCAGCGGATTAGTTGCTTCTTGTCTGCTAATTTTCGAAAAAATTTATGTGTTCGGGTCGGACGTGCTTTCGAGACGGTCTTCTTTAGCTCACCCATAAACGTGCAGAACGCTTCTGTGTGTAAAGGGCTTTGGTTTACGGCGAGTCTGTCGAAAAGTTCATGCCCTTTTAGTTTTAATTGAGGATATTTCTGCTTAATGAGGTCGTACAGGCCGTCTTTCGACCGAAAATCCTAACGAAATCGAGTAAAGCGATTCTTTAGAGTTGCGGTTAGAGTCTGATAAATAATGTCTGATAATTTTTTATCTTTTTTTACCGGTATGCCAGCACTTGTACTTATTCCTGCACCCGTTACTATTATTATTTTCTTGGAACGTCGCAGTTTGCTGGATATTTCTGACAATTGAGCAGAATTCTCGGTTAGGGTGAGCTTCTGAAGCATCTTGTACCTAGTGCAGGAAAAATGGATATATTCTTCTCGACAAAAATGAGATGAGGGTACAACATTCAGGACAACATACTCGACGCGTTTTTTGACCTGCACGAGGAGTATGTGTAACGTATACAACTCGATAAAGTTTATGACGTATACGGAATGAATGTTAATATTAATATTACCGATTGCGCGTTTTCATACAATTTCCAAAAGTTGTAAGAACTAACTAGATTTGCCATCATATTAATATTGGTATGGTATAATCACTTGACCATTTGCTTCCCTTATTCGAAGAATATCGATAACCAAACAATTAGACTGCAAGAGCGTTTCGTACTATTACTATTGTTGATCAACAGTACATTTTTGATGTGTGACGTACACGAGTATGTGCAATGTTGATCAGATATCACACATACTTGGGCTGATCCAACTGTCGAAAAAACGTTTCGTAAAAGATCACCTTTAATAATGGCGCAACCATTTAAACCGACGCCCGCATCCCAGCAAGTAGTTGAGGATACAGGTAACTTCAATATACATTGAGTATCTATCAATTATAAGAGATGTTGAAAATCAATTTTTCAAAAATGATATGTAGCAAAGGTCATGGACAGAACCTGGGAGAAGATACAAGAAAAGACGTTTACTAAATGGTACTTGATAAATTTAAGCAATTATTATTGTTCCATGGATGTCATTCGACACAACCCCTTTTCTATTTCATGACAAAAGATATGCGAATATTCCTACAGGGTGAACAGCAAACTAGCATTAAGCGAGATTCCTCCCATCGAGAATCTTGACGATGAAATGTCTGGTGGAGTACGACTAATCCAATTATTGGTAAGGACAAACAAAAGAGTCAGTCAATGGAATCAACTCGACTATAAAACGAATTACTCCACAATACGCTCAATCACAACGTCGTTCAAATATTTAATCTACTTACTGATTGCTCTTTCGATCGACTTAGGAAATCATCGGAGGCACATCGTTTGGCAGATACAACAAGAATCCAAGGATGCGGATCCAACGCGTGGAAAACGTTAACAAATCATTAGAATTTATTAAGCATCGTGGAGTGTCATTGACTAATATCGGGGCTGAGGATATCGTTGATATGAATTCAAAGTTGATTCTTGGAATGATATGGACTATTATTTTGAGATTTACTATTGCTGATATTAGGTACAGTGTTGTGAAGCAAAGTACTTGTCTGATGGTGGAGGGTCGAAAGGGTAACATGTGTTTTGCCTTTGTTTTTTCAGTGAAGAAGGTTTGACTGCCAAGGAAGGATTGTTGTTGTGGTGTCAGAGAAAGACTGCTCCATATGAAGACGTGAACGTAAAAGATTTCACATACAGGTGAATACACAAAGTATGTTGTTACAACATATGAATATTGGGACTCACATTGAACCTTGCTTTCAGTTGGACAGATGGGCTCGCATTGTAAGTAATAACCACTTGATCAATCAGTTAGCGCGCGATATGCAAGATTTATCTACTTAACATTCTATCGTTTTACTAGTTGCGCGCTTATTCATCGTCACAGACCAGATTTACTTAATTATGACGAGTTAAATAAGGTTATCCTCGATTGATATATTTCTGATTGTGATGTGTATGACGTAATTATTTACGCTTGGTTTCCAATATGATCTCTAACATTCAGGCAGATCGACACGGCAATACCGCGTTGGCGTTCGAAGTAGCGGAGAAACATCTTGGCATAGTCGTACGTATAACCATATCATAATTTCTGACGTCAATGCCTCGATGATGGCATTGATGACATCCATCACTTTTGAAATCATTCTTTTTTTTTTTCTAACTCGTACATTTACCAGAAACTGCTCGATGTAGAAGATGTATGCGATATACAAAAACCCGATGAGCGATCAGTCATGACTTATGTTGCTCAATATTTCCATGCCTTTTCTGAATTAGGTAAGAGGAAAAGAGAGGAAGAGAATTGTGTGCTGTTTATTCACGAGTACGTGTAACAATCGTATATATATTGAACGCGCTTATATTGAAACACAGACAAGGTCGAGACTGCAGGAAGAAGAGTTGCAAAATTCGCAGAGGTCATGCATTCAGCTTGGGACATGGAACACGACTATGAAAGACGTGTACGAGAGGTAGACAAATAATGTTCAATCCTAAAACATGCTTGGACACTATGAACATACACTTATTTCTTGTTATTCTCATAACAGTTGATGCAACAAGTAAACACTAAAAAATCAACTTGGTCAAACGCAACGTTCGATGGTACATATTTAGATGCAAAACAAAAGTACCTCGGCTTTATTCAATACAAAAACACTGAAAAGCGCCTATGGGTCGCGGAAAAGCGGGATTTGGACACCCTCCTCGGAAACATTCAAACAAAATTAAAGACCTATGATTTACAGTCGTATTATCCACCTAAAGGGTTGACGCTGAATGACTTGGATAGCGTGTGGCATAGTCTGTTGGACGCTGAGGCTAAGCGATACAAGTCTATCAATGACAAATTGAGAGAGTAAGCATTTTTCAAAAAGCGTCTTTGATTAATTTTTAAGATTAGCTCTTTCTAATTCCCCATTCGATCGTACATCTCAGGATCAAAGAAAATCTTCGAAAATCATTTGCGCACGCAACAAACAATTTCGTCAAATCGGTCGATGCAATCTCTCACACGCTAACATCTCTCGACGGTGAATTGAAAAACCAACTTCAAACTGTGAAATCTTTAGGCGCAAAGCTAGGTCCACTCGAATCCTCCTTGGTCGAGATAAAAGAACTCGATGCACAGTGTACAGAGGCCAATATCGAAGAGAATGATTATACAGTATTCACAGTCGATGATTTGAAGTTTGAATTGGATTTAGTGCAGCAAGCTGTTAATAAAAAGACAGCCTTTATTGAAAACCAGGTAAGGCGTGCTTGAAAGGTGGTGGGAGGTGAGAGATTGGTGTCCAAGTCACAGAATGTTGTTTTTAATTGTATGCCGTACGCAATTTTATAGATCGTGTCGAGAAACATGACGAATCTGACTCCGGTACAGCTGGAAGAGTTTGAAAGTACATTTAGGCACTTTGACAAAGATTCGTCGAATACTTTATCGCCAGTAGAATTCAGTGCTGCATTGGCCAGTCTGGGCATTTCGTATTCTGTAAGTGGCATATCCCACAAAAACTGGGTATTACATTCATACACTATTACATCAAGCTTACCTATTTACCCCTTTTTTTTTTTCAACACAGGAAACAGAATTTGCATCGGTCTTTAATCAACTTTCTAATGGTGCCGAAGAGGCAACTTTCGAGCAGTTCATCAGGTTCATGGTTAACGTAACTGAAGACAAGACAACACCTGATCAATTACGACAATCGTTCAAAGCAGTCGCAGGAGATAAACAGTATGTCACGGAAATAGATCTCAAAAGATCTCTGCTTCGTAGCGACGTTGTGAATTATCTCAAAGAAACGATGCCAGAGAAGGGTGGTGTAGTTGGTGGATACGATTATGAAAAGTATTTGGATCAAGTGTTTCAAAAAAATTGAGGGAGTGAAATGAAACGGGAGGATATGCACGGGCAAATATTTGTTGACTAGAATTGGGCTCTTCTTTTATTTTATTTTATTTTTTTCATAAAATTAGTAAAACCGTCTATTGTTGTCATTGTTCATTATCGTAAACATAATAACAGAACCACATACAAAGCAGATACCAGATATAATACATGCAAAAATAAAAATTCTTTTTTTTTTTTTTTTTTTTTTTTTTCCTTTTTCGCTCCAACTATTAACACGTCGATTCTGACAATGGCATTTATTGTCTTCTCTTTTTCTGCGCTGCACTCTCTTTACTGAAATAGCAAACAATGAGACTAATAATCGTCCCCATGGTATATCCCATATAAGCCCCTAATACGCATGGTATCGGCCAAGCCTACAGAATAATTAAAAGTGTCCCCACAAGGGTGTAACACGACCGTTAAGACGATATGCCCAGTGACGATTTGAACTCTACAACACACAAGCGACCGATCTATCCTCGTTGATGAGTTCCCTACCTGCCAAGGCCTATCCCAGTCAAGTGGAATGACAATAGATCCAAGCCATGCCCCCACTACTGATCCAACGGTTGGATAATATACCAACTTTTCGGGAATTGTTTCCGGACTGTCAATTAAATCAAACCAGGATCCAACAGCATCAATATCAGATGACATGTGCAAAGAAGCCTAATTCGTAGACTCGTAAAATTAGTTTTTACCTACTGTCACTGAATACTCTCGACCATACCGGTCCATGGTTCTTGAAAGCCATTGCTGGCGGCCAAATTGCTAGGAGGGATATGAAGAGACTGAACGTGAATGTGCTATATACATGGCTGGTAAAAAGCAACAATGTACAATGTCAATTATCATTGAAAAGTTGGGGATGGGTAGCAGATCGGTGCACAGTCAAACGCTGGATATAACGACAAACGCTGCCAAGAATTTTTCCCGAAAAGCGTCGTTATGTCCAGGTTTGGATCATATTATCATTACATACTCTAGTAAATGAGTCCCAAATAAGATACATATCAAATGGAACATAAATGCTCCAAAGAGTGTTAATTTTATTGCCGTCGGAAAATGCTACAAAAATAGACAGACGATGGATGAAATTTAACAAAAATCATAACACTACCAGTTCCACATTCCTATTCCAACAATCTGGACTTTCTTTTGCCTTCACCATTCCCTGTTCTATCTACCACATTTCACTCACCCATTTTCTCCTCTCAAACATCATCGCCAATTTTCCTTGAAAACTTCTCTGCTTCTCCCACCCTTCAACTTCTTCATCAATCAACACAACCCATCTCCACGATTCAATCACCGTTTGAATGACGATCAAACACGGCACCGCTACCGTCAAATTTTCGATAGGACCATCGAGAAGCGGAGTATTAGGAAACAGGAACAAGCAGGCGGAAATCAGTGCAATTGAGGTTAGATTTATCAGTAAATGTGGTTTGATATTAAAATAGTAGTGGTCTTGCTCAGGTAATGGTTTTGGTGAAGGGGGTGTTGGTGGACGAGCATAATGTGAGTATGATATAGGTTTTGTACGTGAACGGGCGGTAGAAGTGGAAGAAGAGGAGTTCGGCGGAGGAGGAGTTGGCTCTGACATGAATGTATGTGGGATGCGATTGTCAATGTGTTCAATCAGAATTTAAATTTCTGTGGCTGTTCCTCGCGATAGTCAAAATTCTGTGGCTTAGCAGATGATATGATTTGTGGCACAATTGACAGTTTTTTCTTGAACGGAATTTTTTACAATACGAAAGAATACATTCTTGCTCCTGTTGATTAGAAACCCATTTCTTTCCTTTTTTTTTTTTTTTTACATCCGTACTTTTATAGATTGTATTCGATATGTCTGAGAACCCAATAGTATTCTTTGATATTTCCATTGGTGGACAACCGGCCGGAAGAATGAAAATGGAGCTATTCGCTGATGTCGCGCCAAAGACTGCCGAGAATTTTAGGTCAGCTCGTTGACATGTTTTATATATTCCGATTATGTTTGATTTATTGACGTTTGTTTTTGTAATGGTAGACAATTTTGTACAGGAGAATACAAGTGAGTTGTGATATATACATATATGCATTATATGATGAACGAATCTGCTGTAACGAAACTATGGGTTTCCTTTCTTTACACAGGCGAAACGGAGTCCCACAGGGATACAAAGGAGCACAATTTCACAGGTAAGATTAAATTAATCTGATTACAAGTTACTGAAACGATTGATGATTACATTATTTATTTTACAGAGTCATTCATGGCTTCATGGTACAGGGAGGAGATTTTGTGAAGGTGATTAACATTTGTAATTGAAAGTAGGGAAAGATGTTATTCTGTTGAAAGTTATTCATATCCATTTATATTACATAGGGTGATGGAACTGGATCAATGAGTATTTTCGGAGATAGGTTTCCTGATGAGAACTTTGACTTAAAACACACAGGATCAGGATTATTGTCAATGGTTAATATTAACGTTAACTATGAGAACAGTCGACTACTTTCAATCGTTTACTATTACTTACATTGTATACTTTTGTTTCTATTGACATATTAACCAATAGGCAAACAGTGGACCAAATACCAACGGATGCCAGGTAATAAACGGTTCACTGTTATAATTTTTACCCACTCGACAGCTGTAAGCATGGGCAATAACTCGTTACATTCCACTCCAATTTAATGTACTAGTTCTTCATCACATGTGACAAGTGTGATTTTCTTGACGGTAAACATGTTGTTTTCGGTAAACTAATTGATGGGTTATTAACACTAAGAAAAATTGAAAATGTACAAACGGGGCCAGGTAATAGACCAAAGTTACCTGTCACGATTACTGAATGTGGGCAGTACTAAATATCAAAAGCAGTTTATAAATAGAAAGCGCAAAATGACAAGTACGAATTGAATTGAACGTGCTACAAATAATTTGTCTTTGAAAACATAGAATTCGATTATAATAATTTTATTAGGACTTAATGTACTGTATAAAGTCAGGATGTATGAATTAATTGAAAATGGTTTCGAAAATCACATGTTAATATATTTGTACGCGTCTTTGAAACTTACTGTCCAATATAACGTAAACCGAGTGGCTATTACAGTAGTACGTGGCGTGGATGGCTATCAAGAGTGTCCACTACCAGAACATACAGTATATATCCACATCCTATTACTATCACTCGTCAATACTGTTCAGTCAATATTAAGACTACTTAAACTGCATTATTATTTTGCGTATCAATCATATGCAGAGGGTATTATATTAGGTGAAATCTTTTCATTACATGAGTCTTCCAAGAATACAAATAACGAACTCTTGGAAAGCACCAATAATTCATACTGGTTCCCGCTATGGCATTGCGGAAGTTTTACAACAGTTTTATAACGACGACTGCTTAAGTTCCATGTATTTCATGCGCTTATTGCCATTAGCGGAATTAACACGACTATATTTCCCATCGAAGCCACACAGTACCAGTTCTACACTTCGTCTCGCAGAATTCGATATAATAATCCATTCCGATGCTGATAAAAAAAAGGCTATCGTGGGCGAATTAGATATCCATAACAATAAGCTCTATGTAGAGTTTTACAACTTTGATTCCTTTCCCTTAATACCGTATTGACCAGTCAATCTTCCGATCTCAATTCCCGTGTGCAAATCGCTCTTGGTCAATCGGAAAACCACCTCTCCTCTATACAAAAACAGAAAAGAACTAATGAAACTAATGAAACCAATAACCCATTGCCGAAACATCAACAGCTCAGGATCTAAAAAACAGAAATAGCCAATAAACCCGCGGGAAAGGCAATTATAATTACGTTCGAATTAGCGTCAACAAACTGAGCTTATCCCCGCATAAGAAGTCATAATAATAACTATCCCATACAGTATCATTACACTAATCAAATATAAATATGTGGTTATGTATGTATGACTTTATTAATACATGAAATTAAAACATGACATGCAACAAGAAGCGACGCCCTACATAAAATTCTTTATTTCGGAATCTCATTAACTCAACTCATGTCGAGCATACTGTTCTATTCAAATCTTTGAGTCACTAAATTATAAAACAGTGGGCAATGTTAATATTGCAAATTGACTTTATTTGAATATCAACACACACGAAAAACCAATTGCTGTCGTCATACCTGCAACTGAATCAAAATCATAACTATTTTTAGGTTCAGGTAAATCTCCAGTAGGTAAGAGCTTACTAGAATATTTACTCTCTTTTCGAGATGTGATAATGGTTTTACATCATTTTGATAAATGATGTTCCATGTGTTATTGTCAGAATTATTCTGACCTTTACTTAAAAGATCGATAATATTAGCCAAAAATGTCGATGCATATCAGGATCAGCATCACAACACGCACGCGCTCGGAAAGTTTCTGGTGCTGAATCAGGCGTCGTTTGTCGTAGCGATTGGGATGTCCATGGCAAATTTGAAAATTTGAAGACTACCACTATCTCGTCAGGATATATGGATACGAAAGTCATAAAAAACTCGTCCTGATATGATACAAATCTCGTCATTACATTTTTTGAAATAACGTGATATTATAAATCGGTGAGACTCACCGAAATGTCAGCAATATCATATAAAACATTTAGTCATACAATTAAAACCCCATTTTATTGTGGCATCAATTTGTTTATAAACGAACCTATTTTTATTTGTTTTTATAAAACAATAGTTTCAATACATTGAAACATATTATTATGTTAAGAATAGAATATCAAACGTATGAACAGTGCTTATTTCTTCTTACGTAATAAAAAGGGTAAACAGCCATCCATTATGCTTCCTACTCGAATGAGCTGTTGCCAGTAATGTCGTATAAAATGTCTGTAGTTATAAACTTGTATGATTGTAAGGTCAGAAAAAACTTTACCTAATAATCATATTCGCGTACTCATTGATACAATTCGAAAGGCAATGTATACTAGTTACTATTAGCGATCGCTAGGGTCAAAAGTCAGACTTAATCTCTCCAATTAACGTAGCTATGTAATACGAATATTGTATTTTGCAAAAAGTTGTCATACAAGCTTTAGTATACAAGCTTACATCGACATCATCAAACTCTATGTACTATATATATAAGAAATAAACATGTGAATTGAAGGCAGCTCTATTTAGTTATAATATATTCAATCAGCGTGATATCTTAAAATATCCACATTGACCCTTATCATCTCATATACCTGATCTCTTATTCTTAATGCATGCGCGTCATTTGGTTCAATTTCCAATGACTTGTCGAGATCAGTCAATGCATTACCATATTCTCCGAGATTGAAATAATCATTGCCTCGTATTCGCATTATTTGGCTTTATCGCTAACGACTTGTGAGATCATTTAATGATCTTCTAGATCGAGATACACGTTTCCCCCTAATCGTCAATGCACCGACTTGATCGTGATCAATCTCCAATGCTTTGTTTAGATCAATCAAAGCACGGTCATACTGTTTCAACATGTAATATGTCTCACCCCTGTACATTAATGCCCAGTCATTACTTGGATCGATCTCCAATGATTTGTTGAGATCGTTTAAGGAATTTTCGTATTGCTCAAGTTTACAATATACATGACCCCGCACGCTCAATGCATATTCATCATTCGGCTCAATTTCTAATGCTTTGTTGACATCGCTTAATGCACGCTCATACCGTTTGAGTTCATTATAAAGATATCCTCTTAC